CAATCAAAAACCCGAAATATATATCCCAATAAGAGTTACTTGATTTATGTAGGTCTCCACTCTGGAATTTATGAGTTTGTTAACACCCCAGTAATTTATATAATCTCCAATGTTGCACTTTATAGTTGACACCCTTGTTCATTCAACTCCCTCGTTTTCCAGTTCACGTACAAACTCCTTATATAACACCGTTTTCAGAAGTCAAATGTTAGTTTATACTTGCTAATGGGGTAAAACCCGAAACTGGTCGTGAAAATAAAATAACCAGTGGAAATTACACAAAAGTGTTTTTCATTTATTTCATTAAAGTTCTAGGATATGACTGAGTTATGTGGATGATGTTTTTGCGATCTTCGATAACAAAAAATCGAATATATTGTGGACTTTGATTCCTTTTCAAATAATAGATTTCTGTCAATTAAATTCACGTATGAGTTAGAAAATAAAGGACAACTTCAATTTTGGTAATGGGGAGCCAATGTGGAAGGCTAGAACACGATATATTTACGAAGGAAACGAGCAATTACAGGTATATTCCTGACAGTTCACATCACTGTGGACAGCACAAAAGTGCTGGGCTGAATTTTCCCTCTCACATATGAGAAATTCACGAAAACAAAACGGAAAATGCAGGAAATAGTAACGCTTTCTCGAGGAACATTGTAGGAGAAAAAATTCAGATTAAGAATGAATGAAATCTCGACTTTTAGAAACAACGAAAACCAAAATGAATATATTTCAGTTCCATACCGCCAATACACGAAGAACTCTGGAAATATTTTCAAGAAACTAAGTATGAAGGTGGTATTCGAAACAAGTCATACACTACAGAGCCTTTTAGGAAATCCAAAGGACAAAGTCGGGAAATCGAGAAAGTCTGAAATTTACGAAATGTAAGGAGAGTGATGCAACATATTATGGACAGACAGATCTATTGAAATGAAATATAAGGAAAACTTATATGGAAGACCAAAAAAATCAGTTATGTTTAAAGAACATAATATAAAAATCACAGACATTCAAAAATACTTTTTTATTTGAATAAAATAAAAAATTGCATATGACACATAATTAACAACAGTAAAAATGCCTGGCAATAAAATATTGATGTCTGGTGGATCTATCAGAAGGCAAAAAATTAATAATTACGTGTTAAAAAATTCTTTTAAAGTTGAGGATTTTTACCTGTGCAAGTCAGATGCGCATTAATAAACGCAACCACTACCGCCAGCCAGTTAGCCCGGACTTTAACCATAAGACCAAGAGAGACGGCATATCAAAAAACCAACTGTTCTAAAATTCTTGTTTTCCAAACGTTGCTAGCTCCCGTTCATTAAGATTAGTTAGACAAGTTAACAACAACAGACATCTAAATGTCTACGAGAGTGAAGAAATGAGAAAACATAATATTATGGATAACGAGGGTATGCTATATGCTTGTTGAAATAATATTTCAATTAGCAGATTTACCTGACTACCACATAAAGCCACATTGTAAATTAATCTTAAGTGTCTTGATTTATGCTACCGAAAAAAATGGATCAATGAATTTGCATCAAATTTTGTGTAAACAATGGAAATAAGTGCTCAGAAACACTTGATATTGTAACGAATTAAAGAATTGACTGTCTTAAACAAATTTATTTTAACAATACTTCACTATCACAACTAATTTATTTACACCACTCAGTCCGTCAGCCAAGCCGTATGCNTGAAACCTTTGCACCTGTTGCGCGAATATCTACCTTTAGATTTCTATTGGCTTTTTCAAATCAGTATGACTTATTAATCCATCAAATGGACGTGAAAACTGCATTTTTAAATGGTGTTCTCAAGGAAGAAATATTTATGCAACTTCCAGAGGGTATTAAAGCTGATGCCAATAAAGTATGCAGATTAAATAAGGCTCTTTATGGCTTAAAGCAATCCTCCAGGTGTTGGTATGAAAAATTTGACAAAACAATGAAAGAGCTTGGTTTTGAAAATTCTTCAGTTGATCCTTGCTTGTATTTTCTTAACAAAAATAATATTAATAAAAATGTATATGTTATACTATATGTCGATGATTTATTGATCTCAACAAAAGATCTATCTACAATGTCAAAATTCAAATCATATTTAATGAGTAACTTCCATATGAAAGATCTGAATGAAGCGAGACTTTTCTTGGGAATAAGAGTACAAAGGAACAAAGATACAATTACTTTAGATCAGACAAATTATTTGAAATCTGTATTAAATAAATTTAATATGGCTGAATGTAAACCAGTTTCAACCCCACTAGAAAATAAATTAAATTACGTTGAATTGAATATTGATCTGCCAAATTCGAACCTACCTTGTAGAAATCGTATAGGATGCTTAATGTACGCTATGCTGTGTACGCGACCAGACTTATGTATAACTATAAGCATATTAAGCCGATTTCAAAATAAATGTAATGAAGAGCTATGGAAATGTTTAAAGAGAGTTCTTCGATAAATACAAGGATCAATTGATTTAAAATTAACTTTCAAACGTAAATACTTTGTCAATATGCTTGAAGGTTATGTGGATTCTGATTGGGCTAATAATGAGATTGATAGGCGAAGTACGACCGGGTATTTATTTAAGGTTTTTGAAAATTGCACAATTTCTTGGAATTCAAAAAGGCAAACTTCTGTTGCCGCTTCTTCAACTGAGGCCGAATATATGGCTCTCTTCGAATGTGTGAGAGAGGCAATTTGGCTCAGGAATTTATTAGATAGTCTCAGTTTGAATATTTCAAAACCAATTCCAATATTTAAAGATAATAACAGTTGTATTAGCATCGCTAACAATCCTACAAACCACAAAAGGACCAAGCACATTGATATTAAGTATCATTTTACACGGGAACAGATAATACAAAACAAGATATCAGTTCAATATATTCCTACAGGTGAACAACTGGCTGATGCATTTACAAAACCATTACCAGCAGTCAAATTCATCAATATAAGGAATAGTATTGGGCTAAAATGAAGTAATCGATTAGTTACCTGTCGAAGAATACTATATTCATCTACCTGTCATTATTAACAGATTGTAACATTATTTAGTTGAAATTAAACATGCATATGTGCTCAAAAATCCTTCAGGATTTTATTCTTTCTTGATCTCATTTTTGAGTGGGAGTGTTGAAATATGTATCTAAACAGATGATGTACAAAAACGAATCTACGTTCCCAGAAAGCTGACCTGATAAGTGTCAAGGGAAACGAATAAAACTGAAGGGTCTTACTTATTTATGACCATGTTTATTTAGGATAATGATTGTGCATTCCTACGTGCGCCGTAATCTTATATTAATGGATTTTAACAATGCCCTCGTTTAGATCTGGGGTGTGAAGATAAAATATGATAAGAATATAACTAGTCAGTCGTTCTTATGTGTCTAAAGTAGAAGCACTGAAATATACTCTAGTGTTCTCCTATTAATTGTGTTTTATTGAACCACTGATGAACTGTGTAATAATTCAATATTGTTACCTCATGATTTTCTATTGATATCCGTTACTAAATTTTGTGCTGAGTATATAAAAACCTGAATTATTTACGTAAAAAAATGAGTCAATTTCATTATTTTCTTTCACCCTGTAAACCAATTTTGCAAGCGATTATTTCGCAGTAGTAGCTTTCTTCAATTGTTACTTCATGATTTTCTGTCGATTTCCGTCACTAAATTTTGTGCAGAGTATATAAAAAATTGAATTATATGTAAGAAAGCAGTCAACTCAATTAATTTCATTCACTTCGAAAACTTATTTTCCAAGCGATTATTTCAGAGTGGCTTTCTACTATTGTTATTTCATGATTCTCAGTATATTTTTGTTGCTAAATTTTGTGAAGATTATACATAAACTGAATTATATACTGAAGAAATCAGTTAACATGGTAAACATTATCAGTGATAATCATTTCTCCTTCCAAGTGTTCATTTGGACGAGTCTACATATATTCAATCTCTAGTTTACAAAATGATTATCATTTGATATCATTTAGGAGAGTGAAGTTTCACCCTCTGCTGTATCTGTGAAGTTTCTTCAAATTTATTCATGATATTATGACATAAATGTATCAATTATAACTTATACTCCGTACGCTACTGAACGTTCGGAAGTATTCAGAAATTTTGGCAGCTAACTTTAGCAGCCAATTTCACACTGCTACAACCCACTACAATGCAAGTTATAGGCATTATATTGAAAATACCTTGTAAACACTATTTTAATTGTTACTGCTGCGAAAAATCACTACACTCCACAAATTCTGGCACTGATTAAAAGAATAAATTAAATATATATCATAAATGTTTAAACGTATCCGTGTATGCCCTACAAGCGCCATTTTGGATTTTTTTGACACATCGTTGGAATGCCTAATCACTACCCGGTGGCCGATGACTGTCTGCTTTACCCTATCTTTCGATTTAATACCGACAATTCGTCAATAACACTTAAAACACAAAAAATTCATTAACTCACTTCTTAAGTTATCCTAAAAGCACAGTATGAAAAATGAATAGAATTAAATATAAATACAAATAAACCCTGTGTGGTCTATGTTTACAGTTTACTGTGATGACTGCTTGCGCCATCGTAAACGGCGTTGATCTCTGCTAATCAAGTTAGCCATATATCCCTCATTTTACCCCAAACTTTTGCAGGTATGAGTAGATGCACCAGGGTTTTTAGACATCTTACCTAAGCCGCCATATTGGGTCACGTGCTCTATATGGGATTAGCAGTCTAGATGTATGTTATATATATGTTAAAAAATCAAAAGGTCTCCTGAGCAGGAGGCGACTATAAAAAAGTACATTGTTTTTTATTACAAAAAGTGTAATAAAAAAGGAGTGGCAGCATTGCTTTGAGCAAGACCGCTGCGCTCCCCCCGACGAAGCTTCTGTCAAGTTGATAGAAGGAGCCTGGACAAATATGCCCGAGTGGGAAGCAACGTCCATGAAATTAGAGAGAGAGGGAGAGAGAGAGAGAGAGAGAGGACTAGAACAAACCTAATGACAGATTTAACAAGTTTCTGTCACTGTTTCTGTATTTGATTTGTAAATATTTTAATTTTTCTAGGAATATTAGTTAAATAATTGTTCAGGATGAGTGGTGATTTTGTATGGGCTATTAAAAATGGAGATCTAGAACAAGTTAAAGACATAATTGAGAAAAAGGTAATTTAAATTGGGATTTCAATATTCCATTAATCATTTAGATTTTTCAGTCAGTTAATGTTAATGATGAAGTCCAGGGACGACCTCTCATACTATATGCTGCGGATTATGGACAAACAGACGTTATTGAATACCTAATATCTGCAGGAGCAGACGTGAATGTAAGTGTACAAATTTCATGTTCAACTAGTAGAAAAATAAAACATTAAAAGTTTCTAGGAATATATAATGAATTTCATTCCTAGCTGTTGGCTTATGTCACCTAGTAGATATCAGTTTGTTAACATAATTGGTCTGAATAGTAGCACTATGGAATGAAAGTAATTTAGATTTTCTACCCAGAATATGTCACTTTCTCTTAGACATTGATCTGATTCACTTCAAGGTAACATGTTTTGTTTATGAACATAGTTCTTTTGTACAAATTCTGATTGTATGATTTATCTTGTTTACATTTGGAACAATGAAAAAATACATGTGTCAACAATTTGTGCATCTGATATAAGTCCATAAATTGGCACAAACTAATGAAAAATGATATGGCTACTGCTCTGAACAACCTAACCTTAATGAACACATACTTTCATTTTCAAAATGTTCTAATAAAAAAAACATGTTATGATGTTTGGTCAATTTCAAAAAATTTGTCGGCACTCAATTATTCTCTAAAGGTATACTTAATATTCCATTTTTCAACTCGAATATCTGGCAATTCAAATTTTCCAATAGGCAGAACGTTGGACAAAACCATTCCTTAAACTACAGGTAAATATTGTAATTTGTCAAATGGATCGAAAATCAAAGAAATTGTCGATAACTCACATTTGTTCAACTGTTTTGATTGGATGTACTGAGTAAGGCATTATCCAAACAAAATCTCACTCTGATTACAATACACAATAGAATGATAATTTTGGGGATGAATAATTGGATGTTTTTAATATTAATATAAGTTACAAAAAGGATTTGAAGCTTCATAACTCATATTTAATTATATGTGAGATTTCGACAGCTGGTCGTACTGTCATCATCAAGGCTCTATTAGCCTTGTACAACCAGCTGTCGAAAGCGCTTGCATGTAATAGACTTGAAGTGCTACTAAATGTATATTTGGTATTAAATTCGTGATTTATTAATATTGGTATTTATCACTTTTCCCAACAATATATAGAAATAAAATGAAATTTTACATTTATTTATATATTCACTGAAGAGTATCTATATTTGAATATGTGCACAACACCTTTCATATGATGTGTTTTTTTTATTACAGTTGAGAAACCATTCAAGCAATATTATTTTTCAGTCAATGACATTACAAGTGTACTTTTATTGAAGATTTATAATCTCACTTAATGATCTCTAAATCATTTACTTTTCTAGTATGGGTATCAATAAAATAATATAATTATATACAATCCCACTTTGCCTAACATTTACCAATAGAGTATCTTCAAATATGATGATAATTACTTTTTAATATTTTAGTCCAAGGATAAGTTTGGTATCACCGCCCTTTTAGCAGCTATCTGGGAAGGTCATAAGGACTGTGTAAAATTACTTTTAGAAAAAGGTGCCAGAAAGGATGGAGTTGCCCCAGATGGAAAAACGTATTTAGAGTCTGCCGAAAATAATGAAATACGACAACTTTTATCTGCTTAAATTTTGTTTGGTCCAAAACTGTCCAAGAAATGATTGAATTTAGTGAACAAGATTAGTATTAGGTTACAATTTTTCAATTTAAATTAAGCTTTCAAGTTGACCTTTGAAATTCAGTAAAATAAGGTCATAAACAGCAGTATTTGTAGTATATTCTTTCTTGACTGTCACATCTTTCATATATATATATGAAATAGAGAAAGGTTAATGCAGTCAAGCTGCTGGAAAATAATTCCATGAAAATCAAAATATAAATTGATTAGGTGGTTCCACTTATGTCTTGCTTGCGTTTACGAAGTTATTTTTATTAAGTACTTTTCTTGCTTATTCACATATTGTCTTCAATCGAGGACCGCCTGCCCGGTACTGACGATGCCCTATAGGCTGAAACAGCTGTCTACTAGTGGATCTCAAATTGAATTCAATATGATAAAGGGAATAAACATTCTCGAAAGCTCGACCATATGACAAAGAGTATTCTTCAAACAACAGCCCCGCAATTTCAAGATGTTTGAAATTAATAAGTTTTTAAATGAAATGGAGTAGCATTTTCAAAAATAGTAGATGCACATACGAACTTATTGTCAATAAGGTGGATATTTTTAGATCTATATATTATATTTTTTTATTCTTTATCAGTAACATTGGAGAACATTGTCATCAAGAATTGACAGCAATATTCTCATGACTTTATTCTTTCAAGTTATATAGTCGAGTATCTTAGCGTCTGAAGAAATGTACAGTAAAATGGATTAACGGGATATATATATATATATATATATATTACAATGTAGGTTTTCACGGATGGTAGAATATGATGTGTTGTTTTTCCGGGTGTTCATCCGTTGTGTACTATTCGATAGTCGACGTTTCGCCATCATCTCAGATGGCATTATCAAGACGAGTTACTGCTTCGCTTTGAGAGGTGTAACACCTCTCGAGGTGTTACAGCCTGCTGGCATCGTCAGTACCGGGCAGGCGGTCTTCGATTGAAGACAAAATGTGAAAAACCAAGAACAGTACTTCTGTACTGTACATTTGAAGTTTTAAAAGTTCTACACACCTTAGGTGTCACGTAATTGATGTAAGCTGAAGAAGAAAACAATATAGGATTTTGAGGTCGATTAGTCTCATTTGTAGTGCTATTAGATTGTATTGAAAATTGATCCAACTGGTTATTATTGATATTAAGTTGAACGCCAATGGTAGTTGAGCTAAATAAGATTTTCTTCAACAAAGGATCCGGATAGGAGTTATTTATAAATAATTGTTATGATACATTAAGGATTTTTGAGTGAAACGAAGGATCAGAAATATGGAGAATATAATTTTTCATTTGTTTGACCAAAAATATTTTTAGACTGTTTATGGTACGACCAGTAGTTAAGGAACCTACCAAAACTGACAGGTTTACGATACCAATCATTGTGGAGAGTATTCTCCGGGGTTCTGATGAACTTAGTGTAAAGGGAAGATTGTTTCTCAATTTCTTTTCCAATGATGAATTTTATGTAGGGATCATGACATTTGAAAATATCCACAATCTCAGATATTCCATCTATAGAGAGGAAAATGATATTGTTATTTACATATTTAAAAAAAAGTTTAAAGAGAAGTACCTGTAAGATCAAATCTAGCAGGTTAGGTTAGGAATCAAAAAGTAAGACCTCGTTAGTCTTTAGCTCGCACAAGTTTCGACTTTTGAGAGTTTTCGTTCGTAGAGGGGCGACAGCTGATTAACGGAAAAACAGATTTTAACAGATCCATAACATATACCATCAAAATTGGATTGATGTTAGCTCCATTTGGAGTACCAAAAGTTTGGAAATTTTATCATCGAAAGAGAAATATGTATGATTAAAAAGAAAAGTAATGAGTTGGAAGAAATTGTCTTTATGAATATTACCAAATTGGCTAATACCTCACCATTTTTTATCAATAGCTCTGAAGCAAGCATCTAAATAGATATTGATTAAAAGAAACACATCATCTAAGCTGGCAATTACCAAATTATATGAAATATTCATTATCAAATTCATAAGCTTTAGTTAGAATGTATGTAAGGAAAGAGACAAGTTTCTCAGTGGGAGAACTGATAGAAGCGATAATCGGTCTTAGGTACAGACAGGATAGGTTTATGTATTTTGGGTAATGCATACAATTTCGAAAGTGTACAATTATAATTAGTGACACGCTTTTTTGTTAAATTCATCAATCTTAATATTTTTTTATTAGTTCATTACAATTTCTCTTAACTTGTAATGTAGGATCTTTACCCACTTGAGATTAGTAATCACAATTTTCAATAACTCGATAGGGAGATTAATATATTGGTCTCGGTCAAGAATGACAGTGGTATTACCTTTGTCTGATTTAGTAATAATATTGGGATTGTTTTCAATACATAAAGCACAAATCGAATACAATTAGGTCAAACGCCTAAAGAAGCTATTGTATAGCGAAATACGTTGAGGTTTTGTAAACTGTCCGGTAAAAATCTCACAATAAAGTGTTACGTTGAAGAAATTATGAATCTTCAATTGATAATTCGCATTTCTTATGTAAAATATTTTGAATATTTTTCGAATCAACGATGAATTTTCAATGAATACATAGTGACTTATAATGCACTATTTGGAACCTTTGGTGTAGTGATGAAATTACTGGAGTTTTTTCCCAACAACAAATCGTTATTTTTAACACCTCAACACGTGTTTCGATCACCAAGTGATCATCTTCAAGAGGAATATTAAACTGGAAAAACTTGCAAGGCTAACCATATTTATACTATACAGTATGAATAGGGTTAGCCTTGCAAGTTTTTCCAGTTCAATCTTCCTCTTGAAGATGATCACTTAGTGATCGAAACACGTCTCAAAAATAACGATTCGGTGTTGAGAAAAAACTCCACAGTAATATTCAATACATATTGAATCTGATTTGTGAATCCAATTAGAAAATGTTGCCAACCTTTCCTGAATCATTTGAGGACCTTCAAGGAATAAATGTCTATACCCTTTGAAGATGTTTCGAACCTGTTTTAATTTAACTTCCAATTTTCGATAAACACGTATGAATGCAAAATTGAGAAATGAAAATTTCTATGTTTTCAACCACTTTTATTTGTAACTAAAGTTACTGCAGTTTGAAAATGACCTTATAGGACGAAACTGCAGTAAGTTACAAATAAAAGTGGCAAAAAAAAATGAAATTTCCATTTCTCATAATTCATGATGATCTCCTACCACGTAGTAACAGCTACACCATCAATTTATTACATATGAATGCGTTAATATTTCAAAATTTTCATATTGGGCTGCGAAAATACCTTTTTTGACTAACGTAAATGCACCAACAACTGACCATCTTACCTTTTTTTTTGGCTATATATTTCCGTTATTGCAATACACTATTTAAACACTTCCAATGAATTTATGAAAAAAAAAACCTACATATTAAATTTGCAAATGAAATTATTTATTTGAATTTGAAGGTCAGAATGCCCAATGACTGACCAGTCTAAATTATATATGATCCAATAAGTGACCCACTTTTGCAGGAATAGGTGACTAATTCTTAACCCATTAGTGCATAAAGTTATAAATTTTTTAAAACACTACTTTTTTCAGTGGAAATCGTATGTTGGAAGGAAATCAAACAACTTTTGTAGAAAAATTTTTTCAATAATTTTTCTATTTGAAAAAATACAGTGTTCAATTTACCGAACGTCATGCTCACAGATCAATATAAGTAAATGGAAGCAACAAAAATAGTATCCATCTCCATGGAGCAAACACTCTTTCGGGTCAAGAGCATTTCATGCATATGAATTTTGCGTTTTTTCCACAGTCAGCACATCTTCTTTCCTTTTTGATATACTATGGCAGATTGTTGATTTTATCAAACCTGACATTGGCAAGTGGTGCTGGAGTGATTTGATGCTTGGCCGTGAGTCTTCAAGAGATTCAGAGCCATATCTCTCCTGAATTTCAGCAGAGCAGACGACAATTCGCGGGAGGGGTAAATTTTACGGAATAGCAGCCAGGCATTGACAACCGATACATCAAATAAGTACGAAAATATTGGCCACCACCATTTTCGCTGCTTCATTCTTGTTCTGTAATTTGCTACTAATCCATACAATTTATCCACTCCTTCCATGCTTTTATTATAATTATGGAATATTTTGGGTTAAGGCACGGATATATTTGCTTTCCCTGGAATAGCAAGTGGTACTCTTGATTTTACAAGACTCGAAATTCAAGGCCGCAGTAACAACTTTATTGTCCTTTCATTGAAAGACAACCACTTTCTTACTATTTGAAAAGGAATATTCATATTGTTTTTTCTTACACATGACTTTTTGTTGCTTTCTTAGTGGGCAATGGGGAAACCTTGCTATATACTTCTTCTGGTGGCTTTTTTCGTTGCACTCTTGTTCTATGTTGAAAATGTGTACTTCATTGGTCCAAACTACTTTTTTCTTCTTTGAAGTGGAAGGTGTGTTATCCTCCGTTGGACCAACTACTTCAACATTCAGAAATAACTGCCAAAGGTATATCATCATCTGAAGCATAATCTGCATCATTACAATCTCTAAGATTGGAGGGTATAGGTGGAACAAACTCACTTTCCACCTGCAGCATAGCTGGTCCCAGGTGAGAAATATATCATTCATGGTCATCATATGATAGATTAATATCACTATCTTCGCCGTCTTGAGAATGTATATATCCCCAATCTCTGTGTCGCTATCTTCCTACATTTCAATCAGTTCGGCAAGCGATAATCTGTGACAAAACAGACGTACAATAAGTAACCATGGTGCATAATGTTCGATAAAAAAAACACGGAATTTAAAGACTGATTTCAAGAAAAATAAAGGTAGGCGGGAGTTATCTGAGATATTTGTTGATGCAATGTTAGTTCAAGTAAAGGGATTTACATTATTCTTCACATATTTGTCATAAATAATATGGATATTGTATAATAACTTATCCGCCGTAGCGAGTTGATGAAAATTCTGTATCCATCGCTATACAAACAAGCAAAACTAACCCGTTTACACTTTTCACCACTCATATGACTGAACCAACTGTTAATCCTATATGTGATAACAACTTTTTGGCGGGAAATAATTGAAAATATGCGCCGACATGTATAGGCATGTTAGATTAAACGAACAATATGCACTAATGGGTTAATAAAATACTATATTAAAATGAAAAGTTTTATTTCATTTTATAGTGTTCATTACATCATGGAATGTAGTATGTACTATACTTTTCCAGTTATGGAACTTTATAAATTCCTCTTTTTTTTTAAACCATTGGTTCTGGAATTATTTCAATAATTTCCTCTTCATAGTACCAAATTTCGTCTTTATTGACCGGCCACCTCCCGTTATTGATGCTACTTGACACCATAACTGATATCAAATATTTGGAAATATTTTTATCTATTACTCTTCCTGGATAAAAACTATCGTCATATTTGACAATAACATGATGTCCAATTTTGTATTCATTGTTATTATCTCCTTCATCTTCACTTACATGTCCCCAATCATCTCCTTCACCCTCACTTTCCAAATTTATTTCGAGAAAAGAATTAGATGATGTGTCTTCATCCAATACTTTCTTTTTTTACTCTTCTAATTTTTGGTTCAGGTAATTTTATATTTTTCTTTTCTTTTCTTTTACTCTTCCTTTCTTCTTTTTCTTTTAAATGTAATGTTTTTTAATATGGTAAGCCTGCCACTGTTCAGAAGAGGCTACATAGGGTATTTTTTCTTTGAATCTTTTTGGTTTTGAGCTTTTGCAGGCTCAGGTCAGAACAAACAATTTTTAAAAGGTAAAGGTACGTTAAAAGGAATTGAAGAGCTTGGCCTTTGCAAATCAATAATTGATGCTGTGTTGATCTGCCGAGCTTCATTATCAATAATTGGTACTGCATTGGTCTGCTGATCTTTATCATTAGTAATTGGTGCTGCATTTGTCTGCTGATCTTCATTATCAGTTATTGGTGCTTGTGTGTTGCTGAACCATCCCCATATTCATGCTGGATATTATTCACATCAGTTGCTTTCTGGACATTCTCCCTGTCTTCTATCATTGTTTCATTAAGATTTTTTACCTCATTGGATATTTTCCACCGAACTCTAAAGAGTAATTTATCTTGATTTCTGCCAATCCATGTTATTAAATCCAATATTTTGAAAGTGTTCAAGAGTATCTGCATGTATTTTACTCTCAAAATATTTCAAAAATTTTTTTCAATTGTTTGTCTTGGTCATAATCTTAGTTTTCATGTAAACTTATTGACCCTTGAAATATTTATTGTACTCAATTGCATTAGGAGCTAATGGAAATAAACCCGTGGAACTGAATCCATTTGCAATTGTTTCAACATTAACATATCTTTCTACTGCTGCTTTTAACACAATTCCAAAAATGTTATCTTTTGAATTTGGCACCATCATTCTCAATTTTCCAGCTTTTAATTTCCTCCTTCCAGCCAAACTTCAAGGGCCTGAATACGGCTACATTTAGCGGTTGTAACAAATGTCTTAAATGAAATGAATAAAAACACTTTTGTCTAAATACCACTGGTAGATTTATACGACTGGTTTCGGGTTTAACCCCATTATCAAGTATAAAACTCAGTTTTTCATAAGCATTTCAACTGAATCCATGAGTTGAGTTTTGGTAGCGGGAATCCCTCTATCACCAAAATAAAGTAGCCATTTCACCAAAGCATTTTCTTATTCTCGAGATGAATTGGTTGGTAGTCCTTACGACATACTTGAGGTAGATCACTTCTCATTTTATATGCAAGCGTTGTTTTTGGTACTTCAAATTGCTTGGCTGCTGTCCTAAACGGAACGCCATTGCTTACAGCTTGTAATACCTGATTCATGGAGTCTCTGGTATATTTCATTGTAGTTTGCGGCATCTGAAATAATAGAAAAATATTTAATTATGTTACTGTCCAATACCTGACCACCTGTTCTGTATCATTAAATGACCTTGGTCATTTATTGGAAAATAAGCATATAATACACCTAGTTTTCAACACTAGCTTTGCCAGTTTCAGGTAATTAGAAAAAAAAGTAGTAACTTTATATCAGGATGATCCAAAAGGTGACCCCCTTGGTACAGGACTGCTGTACCAATATCTGACCATAACAAGTAATATAAATATCAATCAACTTTGTTTATAACTATATAATAAACTAACTACGTCTATAAAGTATGATATGAGTACATAAAAAGACTTACTTTGACACATTATAACCAATAGCACATTCACAAATAAATCAACATTCTCGTCTAATTTCTTAAGAATTCTTAAGAATGACATCATATCTAGTCCAAATCACTCCAAACAAAAATTTTGACAAGTGACAGACTTCATTAGAAAAAGTTCCAAATATCAAGGTATGGCATTGTGAAAGGTTAGCTCAAGTGTTTGACCAATCAAACTCACCTCAGTAATAATAAGACAGAGTTGCCATGCCTGTACGGCGCCTATACCAATACATGTGTTTTGAAACGGGTATCGTACTATCCTTTTTTGTACAACTTACGGGCGTGGAGGGGTGGTGGGTAATGAGAGGTTACGTTACGTAGAGTTTGTTTACAAAAAGAACCCTAGATACCAATTTTGAATAAAATCACATAATAATATCAAACCTCAATCGTAATTATAAATATTCATGATTTCTAATCGAAAATTCTTTATATCGGACTTCACAAACCGTACCGATTGTTTATCAAATCTGAGAATATATAACAAATTTCTTCATCTGCTTTTATGAAGTAAAGTTCATTACTTTTGAAATTAACATTATCATTGTTATGAATTAGTTCATGTGAAATAATTTAATTTTAACCCAGTAAACCGGCAATTGCGCTGGGGAACACCCATGGCGACTGGTCGTGTCTGGTTATAAGTGGTTCATTGCGTGTGAAATAGGGACTCTTGAATATTTATTTGATGACTATAAGAATCAAGTATTAGATTACCATTTTTCTTAATGTTGTGGAATTGGCCGCAATGGTAGTGCGCCCAACTCACGATTGGAAGACCATGGGTTCGATTCCTGCCTCGACCAGATATTTTTCTCGAGAGAATTTATCTGGTTGAAGCTGAAATGATTCTGCAACCGTGTTAGGAATTACACGTTAAAAGGTAAGACCTCGTTAGTCCTTAGCTCGCACTAGTTTCTCAACTTCTGAGAGTTTTCGTTCGTATGGGAGCGACAGCTGATTAACGGAAAAACATATTTTAAACAGACAGATTCTGTGGTCTCATATCAGTTGAAAGTTGGATCGTGTGAAACAAGATGCTTCTGCTTCGGACCCATCCCTATGTAAAACTGATAGGACACTCTTGATTTCTTTATAAAATGGAGAGATTCAATGCACTTTGTCTTTCCATTCACAGAAGAGCTACCTAAACGCACACCAATGATTACATTTAGGAACAATTCTTGTTTCATCTGTCTACATATTTATGTACAAAGTTGGGTCAATCTCATTTCTCGCGCCTAGATATTTTGACAAAACAAAAGCGAATCCGTAAACACCAGGGTTTCCATGTAATTTTGTAGGAACTCATAAAAATTTATAATAAACAATAAGCAACAAACCAACCGGCAACAATGTTTAGTAAAATGGAGCTCCCTGTGCGATGTTGGTAAATAAATGAGAAATTATGAACTTACAATCCCTTTTTCAAGATTTCAACCCAAGGTAATATCAGTTCATCATAATACAGTTTATTCAAACAGAGAGGAGTCATTTGCTTTTGATAATACTATCCTTGATTACTCATAACCTAAAAAATATATATTGACGCTGGCGACCACTTTTGTAAACATCAAAACTTAAACCAAATAAGATTCGTTTTATCATCTATACACCTTGAAAATTGATGACTGCTAGAAGGTGTATTTCCTGTTTTAAAAATAAACGGGGAAAATATTGCAGCAAAATCTTTATATGAAAAATTGTTGAAATCATAAAGTAGTCTGAAAATGACAAGTTTGTACATTTTTTTTTTGAAAACAATCTTAGACATGAGTCAAACAAAAAATATAGCAGCTGACTCCCTATTCATAACCGGTCCTTCCCCAATACCTAATTGTAATTTTTTTTTAAGCAAATTTGTTGTCCACACCTGTTTGTTAGCATTTACAATACTCTTTGCTTTAAAACTAGATAACTATATAACATGGTCGTTTTGGACAGTTTTCACACCCATTTGGGCTTGGAAAATATTAGTTATAGCAGGCGCTACTATAGGTAGCTATGTCTGGTGGAGATATCCACATTTTAGGTAAGAATTTGTTCATCACCAAAAGTATTTTTACACTTTCCTCACAATTTCAGGTTGGAAGGAGAGGCCTATGTGCATTACAAATCAATGTTGATATCACTTGCTTTACATCTCATACTTCTGATGTTTGAATTACTAGTTTGTGACAAGTTAGAGTCAGCTAGACATCTGTGGATTTTAGTCTTCATACCTCTAATTTTCATATCCATTGTGAGCATAGCTGTTTGCATATGGGCCGTAAAACATGATCAGTCTTTTGAGGTAAGTGAGTACTGAAGTTGAAACGTTTTAGTGTCCTTTTTACATTTTCAGCTGGAACTATTTTGTGCAGTTAATGTTTTGCAATTCATATTCCTTGCCTTGAGGTTAGACAGTTTCATTGGATGGTCATGGGAAGTAGTTTTTGTTCCTTTGTGGATTGTTATGTGCCTCTCATTGGTAATGTTTTTTTACTTCAAATTGTATTAACATACTAAGTAACCTAGCTAGTAAATATAGGGTTTTCCAACAGGGACTTCCGAACTTTGACAATTGATAACAGTCATCTTGTTGAAGCTACATGTCAACACATGTAATTCAACAATTAATTGTCATGTATTCAGTCTGTTTTGCCAAATCACCACGAAAGGATATATCATTCAACAATACGTGCAATTAATAAAATTGTTTTATCAAAATGAGTGTTGTGTACAGGCAACGTACTGCATGCTTCGCCCATTTTACAGCCGCCATAATCGTTCTACTGAGTGGACTATTTGCTATGTGGTAGATACATTTGAGTCCACAGACTCCACACACAAAGACGTGTGTTCGCTGAATGGGCTCCGGAGCAGTTGACAAATGACCCCGATTTACATTGAAAAATCATCTTCAGTGATGACGCCCATTTCTGGATGGATGGGTATGTGAACAAATGAAATTTTCTAATTTGGGACGATACCAATCCACATGAGATCCAAGAGCGTCCAATGCATCTCGAAAAAGTAATTGTTTAGTGTTTATTTTAGACTAGCGGCTTCATCAGTAGTTTTTTGTGCGGTACACAGGTGTTCACTGGTCTCACTTATATTCTCTTATTCTAAGGACCTTGCGAATAAAGTGAATTGAATTTAATATCATTGGAATCCGGTAGAAGAGCTACATCGGATGATATAGTAGCTATCAAGAAATCCATATTAATTTTGGGTAAAATTTCTTAATCTAATCTAATCTAAATGGAGTGCTCTAAGTGTTCAATCCTTATACAGGATGAAGATAAATATATACAGTGTGATAGCTGCCGCATCTCGTTCCACCTTAGTGAAAAATGCTCACAATTGTGCCCAAGCGAGATAAAGGCTATAGTAGTGCAGAGGAGGGTGATATTCTTTTTTTGCAATGAATGTAAATCGTTTTTCAAAAAAGTACCCCATCTTCTAACCAAATTATCGGTATTGGAAAATGAAATAAGTCGTCTGAAACAAGAAGTCCAAGATATGAAGAAGAAACACTTTGATGAACTTAGTCTGCTGAGACGGGAATTGAATGATGTGAAAACCATAAGTAGTGCTGGCATGGAAAATATACTTACTGGGGTCCATGAACCCGCAATACGTTCGAATAATCTGATGCTGTTCAATATTGAAGAATAGAAGGCTGAAGGTATAGAAGCCAAAAAAATTGCTATTCAAGTACTTAAATCTATTGGGGTTGACAGCAACGATCTGACTAAAGTGATCCGCATAGGTCGACAAGGTAATAAACCCAGGCCTATCAAGATGATGTTATCAAACTCAAATGCAGTTGGTCATGCTCTGAAACTCAAAAATAGATTGCTTAATACAAAATTCAGAATCGCTTCAGACAGAACCAAAATACAGCAAGAACAAATGAAAAAAGTACAGGATGAGTTAAAGCAACGCCGGGATCAAGGTGAGCAAAATCTCACTATTAAATATAGGAAAGGCATTCCGATAATTGAAGAATTAAAAAACTAAGATATAACTCTTACCACACGTTGGAAATATATTATCAAAATGTTGATGGTTTAAGAACTAGACTCAATGAATTTGAATACTTTGTCCTGTGCTGTAATTATGATGTTATTATTTTAACTGAAACATAGTTAACTAGCTCCTGCTATGATTCAGAAATTAGTTCAAACGACTATAATATTTTTAGAACTGATCGAAATGAGAACACAAGTAACAAGTCTCGAGGTGGGGGTGTGATGATGTGCTTCAAAAAAGAACCAAACGTAAAAGTACTGGATGTAATCAGTACAAATGTTGAACATTTATTCATTCTTCTAAAGAACAAAAGCGCAAATGTGATTTTTGGAGCTAACCTACATACCTCCTGGTTCAAACTCCGATATCTATATAGATCATTGTATTACTGTTGAACAAATATCTGAGAAAGTCAGTGCATCTCAATGTTATCTCTTTGGTGATAATAACTTACCATTGGCTACGTGGGAATCTTCGGAAGAACATGGACTTAGCGATCATTTTTCTTTTCATAATTTTAAACAACTTAATTTTATTCCTAATAGTCATAATGTTTATCTAGATCTAATTTTTTCACAAAATATTTTTGTTCATGTTCAAGAGGCCACTGACCTACTATTATCTAACAATTTTCATCATAAAGCCATTACTGCCAAATTAGAACTATCAGTTAATTTTGAACCCCTTCTATTTGAGGAGTTTTACTATGATTTTAAGAATGCAGACTATGTAGGCTTAAATAATTATTTTGCACCAATAAACTGGGAACTTTTATTCAATAACTTAGATATTCATGCTATAGTTGAGATATTTTACCAAATTATTAGGAACTCTTTTGCAAAATTCATTCCTAGGAAGAAAAGTAAACCAACCAAAATATTGTTGATCTTTTTGCCGAAAATTTTTCAAGGGTCTATACTAAAAAAGAATTGGATTTAGATCATGTCATGAACGAAGCAGTTGCAGCAGTGGTTGACATTCCGTTTATAACATTTAGTAATGTTGAAGTATTCGAAGGGTTGAACTCATTAAAAGAAAATTTGAGTTGTGGACCGGACGGGATCCCTGCCTATTTCCTTAAAAGATATGCCTACTCGCTAACTAAGCCATTGTGCATAATATTCAACTTATCATTGAAGCTTGGAATATTTCCCTGCCAATGGAAGAATAGTTATGTCACCCCCATTTTCAAAAGTGGCAAAAAGGAAGACATAAAAAACTACCGTCCAATCAGCAAACTTTCAGCTATTTCAAAACTTTTCGAATCTTTACTTGTGCACTATCTTTCTTGGCATTGCAAAAATATGCTAAATGAACATCAACATGGATTTGCTGCAGGTAGATCAACAACATCGAATTTATTGGTATATCAACAAGACATCACCATGGCCCTAGAAAAGAAAAAGGCCTTCAAATTGATGCAATTTACCACAGTTTGTTGATTAGTAAACTTCAAGTAACAGGTTTTCCAACTAAAAGTTTTTATAAAGCAAAGTTTTTATTCCCACCCCAAAAAAAGGAAGCTAACCTTGATAAAGATAAACATTGGTTCTGATGCCTCGTCATTTTATGGATTGAAGAACGGGACCCGCACCAAACTATTTTCAAAATGATGTGCTTAAAATGCAAAGTTGTAGAAACAAAAGAAGATATTCTAGCAACTTGTGATAAGTGTGGTTGTAAACTATGTCAAACTTGTGCAAAGCTTTCAAGTACAGAATATAGAGCTGCAATACTAAAATCTGCAAGAGTCCTAATATTTTTATGTCCGAACTGTCGTTCAGCAATCCCTACCTGATACAGATAAAATAAAAGAACTACAAAACGAAATCAAATCACTTAATAAAAAAATCAGTGGGATTTCAACAGAACTTAATAAAATTGCTTATGGATGACTAACCCAGTATGTATTCAGAATCTGACTGGGGAAAGCTTACAATATCTGAGAGATGAAATGCAAGATTTGAAAAATGAAATGAAAAAAGAAACTGAACAAACAAAACTTCTAATTGTAGATCTCAAAGACCCGAACATAGATTTAATAAGATTATTAACATCTGGCAACATTTCCAGTAAGTCAGTCCCATCAAACAAATATAACGAAACCAATACACAAAATACACATAAAAATTTGAATTTTACAAGTACAAAGGAAACACAGTCAACAATGAAAACCATCACAACAAAAACAAAACCTAATAGTGACTCACAAGTTCCAAATGAAGGAGGAATATCTCAAGCTGTTTCCACAACTGACGACAAAAAATACAATGCCTCTGACAACTTTGTAGAAGCAAAGAGAAGGCATAGAAGGAGAAAACGTATTGGCACTAATTCCGTTAGTGAAGCAGAGGAACACGGCTTTGAAGGAAGATATAGTACCTACCTTATCCTCAAATAAAAACAAAAATATGGCTCTTCATATCACGTATAAAGGATTCTGTAACAGAAGATACTGTCAAAAAATACATATCTAAAAAAACAAGAACACATGCTGGGGAAACTTCTGCAAAGAAACTTGAAACATATTATAAAACTAAGGACAACAACTGCTTTCTAGTTGGGATAAATACATCTCTGAAAGAAACAGTATACCAGGAGAATTTTTGGCGCCTTCTGTCGCCTTCTCTAGGTTCAACTTTCAAAAAGGACAACATTTCCTGAATAATCCTCGTCAAAATCATAATGAGGAGATAGATGACAACTCATACAATACACGTAGATCAAATTTTTTAGATTCACCAATGAATCACTGACCCAAACCACTGAAACCAAACCGTCAAAAGATTATTCGGATCACAATCACAACTCATCTACACCTTATGGTCGTTCGGAACTCGGACACAAGGAAGAAGCTATTGCTGTTCTTCATTCAAACATACAGTGCATTAGAAACAAATTACTGGACATTGAGAGTTTTTCAATGCATAGAGTAAGGGTAGAGCCATGCGTTATGTCATAGCCATCGTCTCATCGAGGGAGGTAAGGACACATCGATGAATACGCATTATTCAGCCAAACACCGTGAAGTGCACATCTAGCACTCCTACCGTTGAAGGGTTGCTGCTGGTGTAGAGCGATGCGTTACGTCACAGTCTTCACCGCATCGAGAGAGGAGAGGGCACACCGATGAATACGTACTACTCAGGCACACGTCGTGGAGTGAACATCTCGCTCTCTTACCGTTGAACGGTTGCTGCTGCTGTGACGTCACACCACTACTAACTTGGTGGCCTTACACCGATGGAACATTCATTACTTGGAGGATCTTTGAAGTATGCAGACGTATGTTTGTACATAGACAAGCACATGATGAAACCCTGTACCGTGCATTTTACCGTGTATGCAATCTATTTTTCAATGAAGGATATCTTCACCGGGCAAATTCCAATGTGTACTTTGTACAAGAAAGTTTGTACTCAGTACACATGAAGGATAATCTGACCCAAGGTCAACCCACCTCCCATACCCCAACCCTCCCCCACCCCCCACTCTAATTAGACCATTACGTCGTTAATTACGTCAT